TTTTCACTTAGGTGCGCAAAATGTTTACTTTTGACTAGTCAAAAATGGGGCCCTCTGTCTGTGTGCTGTCATTGTGGTTCGCATGATTTTAGAATAAAAACACTTGTCTGCACGATGTCTCTTAGGTCAGGTGAATTTTTAGCAGAATTGTACCAGCCAGACACTGCTTGGGATGGTCATTCCTCCAAACAGAGCAGCTGAACAAGAGAACAATGGTTAGGAACAGTTTAATGACACCAACTTTGAAAGGGTTACAGTGTTAAATGGCTCAGAAGGGAGTAAGTGTCCATGAATCAACATCCAAATGCTGTTTGGAGTTTGCAACAAAGCATTTAAGTGATACTCCAACATGTGGCAAAATCCTTTGTAGTATCAAATAAAACATATTTGGCCATTTTTGTTTTAATGCAAAGGATTACATCTGAACAAACCATTAATATCATCCCTACAGCTACATTCAAGCACAGTGGTGGCAGTTTAAGAAGAATTCTATAGTTGTGTTAAACAACTCAAATGAATGTGGTGGGAGTCAATATTTTTTGCTATTTGTAGGATGGACCAACTTCACAGATCTCCTATATTACCATCACTAGTATTTCCTTCTCCTCACCTCCTTGTAAATCATCTTAAGGACAGAGAGTATTAGCTCTTCCTCTTATATATACTTTATGAGGCACCTTTTTACCTTTGCTCTGGTTTCCCATTTCCTTTATTTTACTGTTGATAATATAGTGATGTTTAATTACCCTGACTCTCAAGGTATTAGACAAGCTGAAGTAATGTGGACTGAACAATGCAATACAATAAACTTGTATGCAGTCTATTTGAGTGTTTTTAAGTTCACCTTGCTTTATACAGTATATAATAGTTTGAATACTGTAATAAATTCAAAACATTAAAATATCCTTTGATATGATTATCTGTGTTTTCGGAAAGTCTAGTTCACCCTCCCTCACTAGGACATGGATACTCAATGATCTACTGTATCATCAAAACCAGGGTTATAAACCAGATTACAACAAAAGAGTACTGTTTGCTTTAAATTGCATTTTATTAATGTGTGCATAGTATGTAACAACAGTTCTTCATCATTATGCTTTTAAAGTACTTTAAGGTCAAATGACATCAGCATATTCTGGTGTAACTGAGCTATAATAAATATGGTTCAAGTCCAGTCTCTTCATTTGATTTAAGGACCTTGAGTGTTATGGCAGTTCAAGCTGCCTTCCCCAGGGAAATCAGGGGAGTCAAGATAGCATCCAAATTTAAATCACGCATGGAGACATTTTTATTAGGCAATCCTCTAACTCTGGCTAGAGCTGGCTGTTCCTATTGACAGATGGCATCACTGTAAAGGCAGTCTTATTTGGCTCTGCCTGAATGGTTTTACAGTGAAGGCACACCATTGTTATTAACCACTTCTCAACACCACCGTGATCCAAGAGAAGAACAAGGACATCGTCTGTAGATAGAAATGTTAAATATATAGAAGACCAGCTTACTTCTAATAATCATCTATCATATACTGTACACTAAGCTCCTTCCATAGCAAATTATCCAGTGTTAATTTAACTTAGTGTTAAAAGTAATTATCTGCATTTTATTTAAAAAATGTTAATGTGCTATGGAGTTTGGTAGAACATAATCAATTTTATAATTTATTAAGCCCTGCCTATCAGGTTTTCTACATGGCTTTGGTTGCTTGAGAAGAAAATTACCATGAGTGGTGCTTTTAATTGAACGATTAATCAGCTCAAGCCACTGGTTTCCTTTTTCTCCATTGATCTCAAATTCTACTGACCTTTTAATTTTTAGAGTTACTGAAAGGACGCATCATTAGGCTTAGATTAACAAGCCTGATAAAAAGGTGATTTTTACTCAACAGGTTGCAGAACTTGTCTTTCCCGAACCATCCATTTCCCTTAATAATAGGCTTCTGCCAATTCTAATTAAAGTGGAACTTTCCCCAGAGGAAACTAGCTGCATACTGAGGACATAGCCTTTGAAAAGGTCAGAGATTTATCTTTATCTTGTTAAATTTTTAGAAGGTACCTGTAGCTAATGCAAAGGGTGTAACCTCAAATGTTTCTAAAGCATCAATAAAGAGACTTATCAGCTCTGTTCATCTGTAGCACATACCGTGGCCAAGATGTTAGGAATTTGTACTGAATAATTGTTCATCATTTGTAAGCAACAAGAACAGCTTGAACAGGACACTGAGATGTACGGTGTATGACAAGTTTCTTAATTTTTTGCTGCCCTCTTTGTTTGTCTAGTAGGATCCACATAACCTGCAGTCTTGACAAGACTATGATGAGCAGGAGTGCACTGCATGTCCCGCATTGTTCTACACTGCCACTTTTTTTCAGAAATGATACACATACAATATGATATATATCTAGATTATAGTATAGATAGGAAACTAGTGAAGTTTGCAGACAGTACCAAAATGGGAAGATGAAATTCTAAACAATTTAGATAAGATTCAATACTGGGCAAACACCTGACAGATGCCATTAAATGTAGACAGCTGCAGCATATTATGTAAACTATAGGTTCAAAATGAAACACACCAAGCTTAAAAAAGGCTAATGTATTTTACACAATGTAGAGAGGCAAAAAACAATTTGTCAAGATATTTAAATGTTATACTTTTAACTATCAATGAATGTAAAAAGACATTATTTAACTGCAGTCAAAGAGCAGCCAGAACTTTGAAGAATTTGCTAGTGATGCTTTTGCCATTGTTTTGTTCTCTTGGAAGATTTGTGAGCATCCACATTTTATCAATTTTAATTAAAATTATTATTTTTTTGTTTCTTTTTGACTTCGCTCCTGCTTTACCACTGCACTGGAACACTGTGCTGAGGACATCCTGACAGAAGAAGAGATTATTTAATAAAGTGATTAAATACGATGTTGTTTTGCACTCTGCTGCATTTCCCCACCTTCTGCTAAAAGCAAGTCACATTGTGATGCTGAGAATTAAATCCTAGTATATGAAAAAGAAAGATTTCATGAATGTACAGTAGTATAATGGTATATTTTTTATATTTTTTTCCATTTTCCTGCTAAGAGTGAAAGAGATAAACTGCTGAACAGTTTACATAAGCAATTCAGACAGTGCTGTAACTCTTTTTGAAGTGCAGTCTCCCTGTATATATCTCCATTGGTTTTTCTGAGTTTTAATTGCTTCAGAAGTAATTTAGAGCTTTATCTTCCAGGGGTCACATACTGTATCTTGAGTCACTAATCAAATAGAAGTCAGGGCCTCATGGTTTCATGGTTTCCAGGGCTTTCTGGTTGAAGAGTACATTGTTATATTAAATCTCTCAACCATTACATTTCCAGAAACTAATTTCACATTGAATATGATTCAACTTTATGTTCTGTTTCAGTGTTCATACCAAATTGAAAGTTGCCATGTTCTTTCATTAATTTATGGCTTTCATTGAATTTGTAAAGAAATAGGAATAAAAAAAATAATTGTCATTGTTTTTTTCCATGTTGATCACCGCATGCATACTGTTTGTGCTACTGTGTTTGTAGAAGTAACAGGGTTTTTTTAACCCCCCTTAAAATGAGGCAATAAAATCTGAGTCTGAATAATGTGAAATTTAATATATCAGTTCAATTAATAATTATTTGGGGTGTGAACAAAAAGCCTTTGAATGGCAAGACAGACAAGATGGCTATAACATGCGGCACCTTTTCTTGCACACAAATGTCTGTCTATGAAGCTTACTAGTTCCTAGGGAACGTTGATATTCCCTATTGGAATAGAGAATCTTTTTTTTTTTACCATACAGGTGGTTCTCTAAATGTCTCTAAAGTAAAACTTTCAAATCAGAAAGCATGAGAGGAAATAACTTCTTCTTGTTGAAGACATACTGGATGTAAGATGCTAAAGAGTACTGGAGTTTATTCTTGTAGGTTTCCTGATTGTCAGTTCTTTCTTATTATGCAGTATGTGTACTACAGTATATCTGTCTCTTACAGGGCATCTGTGATAAAAGGTGCTTTGAGAAATAACATACTGTACTGTATAAGCTTCGTTGGGATGCCCTTAGGCTCGTATTTGATTCACACATGGGAGCTTTTTGCCAACAGTATTTCATTTCCAGCAGCTGTGTGTGCAATATGATTGCTTGAGCAGTCAGCTAGACAGCATGCGGAGGGAAACCAAGGGCAAGAGGAGTCTCAAAAATGTAATGGAAAAGGTTGCTTTAATACTGTATGTGACACCAGTGACCTCTTACCCACATTCAGTATACAGTATACACTTACCCAAGCACAACATAATATACAGTAAAGGAACAAGTAATAGGTTTATTCCATGTTGAAAAAAAAGAAGAAAGAGAACACAACATTTCGGCGTTGGAGCCTTCTTCAGGTGTGAGAGAGACAGGGCAGTAGGCAAAGGTAAAGTAGCGGGAGAACAAAGGTTGGGAGGGAGGAGGAGTGAGAGGCGGGAGCAGGGGACAGAAAGAAAGGCCAATCAAGAGGTGTGAAGTCAAAATGGGTGCAGAGAGGTGTGAAATGAAACTTCCAATGAATGGAGAAAATTTAAAAGAACAGTAGTCTGTCGTTAAGGGAAGGGAGAATGTGTGATCCTAGCTGCAGAATAATTTTAGTTTCGGTGGTCTTTCTGATGTATGAGTTCGGAAAACCGTCTTTGAGAACACAGATGGAGAGATTAGAGTGGTTGTGGCCGTCAGAGGTGAAATGAGAAACAATGGGCTTGGAAAGATCTTTAATCTTCACAGCCCTGACGTGTTCTCTGAAGCTGCTGACGCAGCTACCCACCTGATAATATACAGTATGTGATTTAAATAGAGGAGAAATTAGTTTACAATTTTATAAAAAAACGACACCAATTACAATTTAAGTCTGAAACTGCTTATTGTCTCCAAATGGTGTTTTTTTTTTGCATCTAGAATATAAATATTGACAACTGCAAGTTGGCTGTATGATTAAATCAATTTCCCATTTCATTTCAGGAAACCGCTTAGAAAGGAGGAGAATGGAACAAGCCGGGGGGAATATGCAATGAGTTCCCGCAACAATAAGGCCCTGGATGCCAACAATGCCGTGGTGTAGCACTGTGAGATGAAGAAGAACGATAACTCAGTAAACACTCTCCTCCAACTTTCACTCCTTTCCAACTACCAGTGGTGGGGGGGGGGAGGCTGAACTTTGAATGCACGTGAAGATCATGCTTAACGCACATCGGCTTTGCTAGGAAATGGAAGAGTTTAAACCGCTGGAAAGAGAGTGCTTTGGGGCTCAGGGCATTCTTTACATATAGTGCAGACATCAGATATTCAGAGCAGGAAGGCATCTCATCTGTGAAGCCTTGGTGACTGTCGGAGGATGAGCTTGTCAGTCCCCGTGACTGCAATAAGAGACGTGCACAAAAGTTTTTTTTTTCCGAAAACAAAAATACAATAACAAGCATGCAGTCTTCGTTGAATGCAACAACTTTTTAGATTCCTCTGCCTTTTTTTCTCATTTTCATTTCTTTTGAGGCTTCATCGACTCAGTAATGTTATTTGGCATGATTGACAGGAGAGATGGCAGCCCAGTGTAGCCTCAATTCAAGGGGTATGCCTCTTTTCCTGCCCTACGAATCATTGTAGTGATTTGAAGAGAGGTGGATGGTGGCCTCTGGAATTCCGCATACCAAAAACAGAAACACATTTCCCAGATGTAAGGAATGGATTGCTTGTGTCCCCTGACTATGCAATTTGAAATGGCCGAAGGATGCTTTCGGTTACCAAAGGTGTAGTGAAAGGGAACTACACAGTGCTGTAAGTGCAGACATGTCTAAAAGGTGCTGTTTTATGTTTTACCACTCATTTTATTTCACATTGAATTCAGCTCTATACCCATAATCCAAGCAGCTCACACCTGACTTGAGACTGTTCACTTTTATCCTGGGCCACCTTGAAAACTAGGTTAAAATACATTACTACGTTATCGTTGGTTTTTTAAGGATAATCTGCTATCTCTACTTTTTAGAATTGGACTCTTTTTTGTGTGAGTGACATTTTTTGGTCAGCTCGTCTTGTTGTAAATTTGTATATAATTAAATTTCATTTAAGTCATTTGCTGAGACATCAAATCCAATGTCAATTTATTGCAGGTACCCTATACAAGCATTTCTGATACAGACAGATTGGTTCCATGAAAAGAAATGAAAATTAAATGACTGGTCCATGACATTTAGCACCTCCTCAATAACATAATATTTCACTGGTACTTTCGTTTGATACAAATTAATTTGTGTGTGTGTGTGTCAAGAGTTAAAGATTAAGCTAATTAACAAAATAATAGCCAACCTCACCTCTTGCTGTCACAACTGATACACCAATCTTTTTTTGCAAATGGCTGAAAAAAATGCTCCTGTCATATAAAGTAAGGAGCTTTAACAGAGGCAGAACCTGATGCAGTCAGACATGCCGGAGCCGTGGTATTTGCTGTATACCATGGGCAGAGAAATACTGTGAGGTAATTGGTTCTACTGTTTTTGAAGGATACTCATTTTAATATAGCAGGGCCCTGTCGACGGATTTAAATCTAATGCAAGCAGAAGTTGCAGTTCAATTCAGTAGAAAGGAAATAATCTCATAATTCCATTGAAGCCTCTGTCAAACATAAGTAATGTGTAAAAATGTAGCATTTGATTCCTATCTTTTTATCAAAAGACACATGAAATGAACACATCCTAGTATCTCTTTCATGGTAAGCCCTAAGTGTGTAATAATACAATCTTTATTTAATTAGGTTAGGTTTAATATAAATAATTAGTCCAGCTCCTACATGAAACTGACATTACTTTGACATTCTAAGTAATGTTTCACATTTTGCCTAGCTCATCCACCTTACGTGATGCTGTTTTTCTAATCTCCAATTAATACAGTAGGTGTTTCTACTCGCAAATATTGTTAGAACCAGTGTACCACTTGTTATTTTGCTTGCATCCGGCAGGCACCACTAATAGGGCATTCAGAAGCAGTTAGAGGGAAACCCACAACCTTATTAGCATTTTGCAATCTGAGCTCCAGGGGGGCTCTTGACACAAAATATTGCTTCTTGACAAAATGAGAGTGGAGCTTAAGGGAGCCAACGAGGCAGTGGAATATGAAGTAGGAAGTCCTCTGTCAAGTTCTTAACATGATTACTTGTTAATCCTTTTTCTTTCCAAGTGAAATTGCCCCTCCTGGTACAGATGGAGAAGCTTTGCAAATCCTGCTGAAGAAACCTGTGTTGTTAACGTGGTGCTTTGCATGAGAAGAGAGGATTAGGACCGTGCTGGAACAAGTCCCTACCTACTACTGGAAAAAAAAAACTCTTTGAGTTAAAAAACAAAATGAGGAGGAGATTATACAGCCTTTTATTTAGGCTTTTCTCTAACTGTTCAAAGATGGATTCCTTTACAATGGCTTCTTGACTACAGTTAGAAGTGGTGCATTGAAACCTTGACATTGTTTTAGGAAAATCTCACTTTTGAACAACACATTGGAGAAACCACATGACTGCATGGTCCTTTTCCAAGTTTTAGCTTGTAAATTAAAGTATTAAATTTTTCTATGGTCTTGGTTGACTTGGAGAAAGCTTCTCCATCATTACTGTAGGTAAGAAAACATTAGCAAAGCTTATTCCTGTTTAATAGTAAGAGAAAAAGAAATTAATGAAATTAGATGTGAAAATGAAAATCAATGTCTAAAGACATTTTGCCAAATTAAAAAGTGTTGCAGGAAAAAAAAAAACTATCGGAAATGCAGGAATCCAGCAGCAGAGATTCTGTTGTGTCATTGGTATACAATTCAGTTATTCAAGAGGCCCCATGTACAGGAGAAAAGATTAATGCTCCTCTTCTTCTTTGCTGTAATCCCTAGATTCACTGAAATGTAAAATAAATTTGTAATTATTTTATCTGTGCAAAGATGGATTCCTTTACAGTGATGTCTCATCTTAACTCTGAAATCTTATGTCTTTTCTCTCCACTACTCATTATAGAAATAACTACTACTTGTCACGATCGCAAACCCCTCCCCTTAAGGGCGCTCCAGCCCTTCCTTGTTCTGCCTCATTCCACGCACCTGTTCCTTATTGCATCCCCTTTTCAGTTCCCCCTTAAAAGCCAGACGCTGACACTAATCAGGGCTCTGTATTAGTCCCCATATCATGCGAGCCCGGGTCCTGATGCGTCTAGCTCCGTTATACTTTTAACTTTCTGTGCCTGTTCCCGTTCCTCCTGCCGGCCCCGACCTGGTTCTGGTTTTTAATCTCCCGTCTTGGATGGATTGCCTGGCCGTGGACTTATGCTTGTTTTTTGGATATCTCTTTGGACTCGTCCCTGGATTTGTTTGCCTCACTACACCTTCCCCGACCACCAGCACTCCTTGGACACGCCCCCCGTTTTTTATTTCCCGAATCCTGCATGCTTTTCTCCCAAGTGTTTCCTCACTACCCCGGATTGTGTCATCTGCATAGGGCCCAGAAAGAACTGTTCGGGACACTATTGAGATCGTGAGATTTCTGTAAAGGTGTGGAGCCAGTCCAACACTACAAAAGGCCTTCTTTTGCAAGCAGTCTGTAACTTGAATGATAATCAAGCTTAGTGTTCTTGAATTAGGAGGATTATTATTACTAAATAAAAAGTCTTAAATCAATATGATTTCAAAATTGCTTTCTGACAGCCTTCTTTGTAAATCATTAAAACATGTTATTAAGGATCTGTTTTGTAACATTTCAGTAGTATAAGTTATGTTTGGTAGAAAACGCCAAACTAATATCCGGCCAGTATTTCCTACCTCTTTTTTAATTAAGTAGTCTTTAGACACCTTCTATTATTTCTTGTTTATGACACAAGTGAAGACAGCACGATTATAGAGGTAAATCTCTCTCATCATCCATCCAATATGATTTTTTCTTCTTGGCTTCCAAATATTTGGAATAATCTGTGTTTACTCCTCCTAGCCTACTGAAATTTGTAAAACATAAATATGTCCTTCTTTATAAGCGTAAGGAATACACCACATTACTGGTTGTTTTCAGTGTTCCTTAATTACATGTATATGTTTTATTCAGTGTACAATATAAATAACTTGTATTTGAGGGTTGCAACATAACACCAGGTGTCTCCCTTCTTTTATGTACAGTACTTCACAAAGCACCTCAATTCTGTACTTATTGCCTACTTATACTTAGCCTTAGGAGAAGATGTTCATGCTAGATGTTAAAAACAGTAAGTGACAGAGGCTTATTTGCAGACCACCTAAACCTAAGACACAATGCTAGTGCATCCTTTTATCCTTGCAGTACATATGTTGCCAACTTGAAGTATCATTATTCTATTAAGGATTGACTTCAAAGTGATTTAAAAAATATGTTTGAAAATAAATGTGTCATTACTTCAGAAGATTAGAAAAGTAACAAAAGGTTACTTCAAATTTCCTGCCCCTGTTATCTGTGCTTGTCACTCTTAGTCGCATAAACATTGCCATGAGATCCAAGTTGTGTATATGTGTGTAGCACTAAAGATCAAATAATGTCTTTCTAACATGTTTTCCTGCTATAGAATTAATTGTACTGAGATTGCAAGTACAGACCTTGCATTGTGACATTTAACTGCATATACCTACAGTATACCCAGCATCTGTGCATACAAGTGTATTATATTATGTACAAAAATATAGTATGAAAAGTAATGCATGAATGTAAATATTAAGATTTAAAATCTGCCTTCTTGACTGTCTATCAAATGTACAGATTAAATTAAATATGTTTATAGAAAGAGAAAAATGAGTTGTTGATATGCTACCAATCAGAATAAATAAATGTTGTCATGTTTCTGGAATAAGCCATTAATGTATATTTGGTAATTAAAGGTTGTTGCACAATATATGCATTGCATACCAAAATGTTAAACATGTATATTGTGCATTTAACTAATTTAATTGCACCCTGCTAAGTTTTTTAGTTTTAAATAAAATTGTACTATTAAAAACAGATTGTGAGTTATCATATGTAATTACATTCTGTATACATTCATTGACTTACTACAATAAAAAGGAGATTTTTTTAAGCTAAAGTGGTCTTGACAAAAAGGTAGTCAGTTTTGTTTTCCAAACACTTTTTAGAGAAACAGTATACATTTGAAGTACAGTAGTTTCCACAATCGTATTTTTATAATAACTCAAAATAGTCAATTCTATTATCTGTAAACTGTTGAAACTGTCCGAAATACACATCTGTCATGAGAGTGCTTATGTGTTTTGGGGGAACAATAGTTAAAATGAAAACAAATGTATTTCCTGTGGGATGGCAAAGTACAGTATCTGTCAGAAACCTGAAGCTGCAGGCGTACCTCCAGTGGGGATTGACAAACCTGCCTCTAAGGAGAGACAAATGGGTATTTTTTCATTAGACAAAGTA